TTCAGGAGATTTTATTCTAATTTCTAACTATTTTTGAGTTGGAATACAAGCTCTGTTAGATGTAGTAACTCTGCTGTAAATGACAAAACACATTCCTGAATGAATGCTTCTACAATCCCTGTTTCATTTTGGTTTCTTGAAGATCACCTGGCTATTTCCCTCTAAGTTCTTTCTTAGCTGCTCCTCACTGCTTTCCCTGCATGTTTTTCCAGTAAGCAGTCCTGCACACAGACAGGACCAGCAGTTATCGTCACAAAGCAGCAGACCTTACTAGCAGTAACTACCAAACCATGTAATATTTCTCATATTTAAAACTTGTGTTTGTATTTCTTACAGAATAATGCATCATTGTTTACACCATGCTGCACCAAATAAGAACAAATGTCCACGAAGAGCACTAACCCCGAGGAAATTAATTCTGACAATTTTTTTAAATTTATAAAATATTCATTATTATCCTTAATAGGTATTGCTATTTTGACAGCAGTGAACATAAAAGTGAAGCATGACTGACTTAATTTCTCATTCAACAGCTAAGCAAGCCAAAGAAAACCAAGATGTTTTTTCAAAACAGAAGGGGAAAAATATAAATAAATTTAAAAAAAAAAAAAAAAAATTGAGACTGCCCTGTGAAGGCCTTTGAACTACAGCTTTGTAATTACACTCTTCAGAGCCAAGGTTGGCATAAGACAGTTTGTCATTCTGGCACCGCATCAAATTTTCTGCCAACTACTTCAGTGTCAGTTGTTTGCACACAAGGTTTCATCGCTGCAACAACTGAAAAAACCCCAACCCTGCAAAGATGATGAAATAAGTTTTCAGGCAGCACAAAATACAACTACTGATCTGTGTCTTCAAAGAGACACACCTGACTCCTCATGTTTTCTCCCTGTAGCAGCACTTGCCTGGGACTGAGTCCAGGCTAATAAGCCCAGCAAACTCTAATTAGTATGTGCTGTGCTCAGTCCTGTGCCTCATCTTTGAGGTTGCTCCAGGCTGAAAAACTCTGCATTCAGAACTCCACACACACACAAAATACACTACCAGAGCTCCAGTGGATGTTTTTTAAAAAACAAAAAAAAAAAAAAAAAAAAACAATGGTCAAAATCTATTGGAATATTTTTTTCTACACACAGGCATAAACAGTCCATTCTACTGGCTGATTACGCAATGATTTATGACTGTAACAACTCAGCTTTCTCTCATCATACAAACTCTCATCCGAGAAACACTGTCAAATTTCAGTATTCTCCCGCTCCCCAAGTCATCTCAGTTCTCAGCCCTGGAAAAAAGGTACTGCAGCATTATGGGGGATCCACTCTGCAGTAACAGTAATTGTCAGAAAGCCTGGCAAACCACATGCAAATTCACCAGAACACCGAAGTTACTACAAACACTTCTGTTAACTTTCCTACCCCATCCCTACTTCTAGCGGGCCATGTCATCCACACAGTTTGGCTGCAAGATCTTAAGCTCTCCCTGTAGAACACAAGATTCAAATAATGAATTTAAAAAAAAAAAAAAGAAGGATAATTTAGCCAAACACAAAGTTATAGCAAACACTCAGTTTTTAACTCTGAAAACAAACATTTCAAAGCAGCAGCTCATCAGTTAAGCAGGAATCTCTGCTGTGGTGTGCTCTTCATTCCCCTATGCCACTAAGTCTCCTTGCAGAATAGTCTCCCTTTGAGCTGTGAAGCACAAAGGAAATGGAAAATTCCACTGACAGGTTCCCCAGCTTTTGCATTTTTGCATAATATCGATAGTGCCGCACAACACAGACAAGTGACTGGTCTTTCATCTTACTGTAAAAGACCTGCCTCTTTCCAACACGCCCAAGCAAGGTTCTTTTCTGGCCTAACCATCCCCATGTTTCTTTCATGTTTACCTCAGGAAAATCTGAAAATGGTTGGCAAGTCTCTAATTAGGATCAAAACAAAGCTCTTTCCCCCCAAATGGCTAAAAATACACATTTTAAAAAATTTAGTAAATTTGCATATCTGTTAGATGCTAGTATATACTTATCCACAATTTCAATTCCTTTCATTTCAGGGATAGTGGACATCAGACAATATCCACAATGCATTAGAAAGAAGTCTAATTTTAATAAAGTACTAAAGGAAACAATCCTGTGTTGGACAATAGCAGTTGATGGCCTGGTACTTTCTAATATTGAAAGCAAATGGTTTCAAATGGTTCCTAGAAAGTTTGTTTGAGTGCTGTGTTTAAAGAAAGACTTCTTCCTAAATTTAAGACTATTAAATTCTTCCAAGCACTGTAACAGTCTCTTCTTCTCATACAGCTTCTAAAAGCAAACTTTTGAGACTTTTCACAAAGTAAATACCCATTATAAAGTCATACATATTTTTTTAAAGCATGTATATTAATGAATTTATACATAAGCAGGAGTGACTTCTTCCTAAGGCATTCAGGAGTGTGAAAGTCTTGTTCAGAAAGCAACTCCTGTGATAACTGTGTCACATACAGAGGCTGCAAAATTATCAAATAACCGTCAAAACACAGGGAAGTTCTAAATATTGAAAGAGGCAAATAATGTATGAATATACATCTAAATTATAAAGAATAAAATGCCAAAATAAGCCAAAAAACATTGAGCCACAACTCTACATTCTTAAATTTCCTACTAACTTCGCCAAAGTAATCTCCCATAGGTGTTTTATCAGCAGCCTTCGATCTCCCGCTCTGTAGATGCAACAGCTATCTGAATAATGAAGATATTCCCACACTCCTCAGAGTAATAGTCCTATCAGACTAATGATTGTTAAAAGTCAGTGAGCAATACCAGGAAGAAGGATGGTCTCATCAGTTAATGGAAGTCAGATGCTTCCAGTTCTCCTCTCACTTCTGCTAGAGATCTTTGGTATAATGATCGAAGAAGCATTTCATCTTCAGTACGTAACTAGAAGAATGAGACTTGCGAGACCATGACAATTTACTTCTACCTCTGTTGATCTGGCCATATGAACTGAAGCAAAAGCATTTGCAGTGTATTCCATTTGCCCTTCAGGCTGAACTCCGACCATGTCACGTTGCTCCATGCTGTTTAGGTAGGGGATTCAGAGTATAACCATTGCCCTAAAAACCAAAATACTTAACTTTCTGAACAAACAAAGAAGCACACCACAACTGATTGAATTTTTAAGACCTCCTTTCTCTAAAGATCTCTAACAGAGTGCTATGCAGAGACAAGTAACGCTGCACTCAAAGCGGCAATTCTTGTCACTCAACTACGGTAAGAAGTCAGAGTGACTGAAAGGACCTACCAGTTACACACGGATATCTACTGCATTATTTGGGGGGAAAGGCAGAGAGCTACATTTAGGCTTCTGTACTTATGTATGTTCAACATATTGTCAAAGTGTTCCGGTAGGCGGTGTGTGCCACAGGGCTCAACAACAGAACAAAAAAGTACAGACATGCAAAACCAAGGGTATGCAAAGTCATTAAACTGACTCTTCCAGAGCTACAACTTCAGCTCAGTCATGAACACCATGCATACCACTCTGTGGGCTCTTGGTAAAAAGTCTTGGTCAAACTTACTTTGACCATAGGCTAGATCTAGTATTCACTGTGAAACCACCCACATCACACCAGCAAAACCATCGTGTATTTTATGTGACACTGATGCACTTACACACCTGTTACCATGCTCTTGTACATCCTACTAGCATGTACAGAACTGTGTGATATAAAAAGATGGTCTTCAGTTGCTGTTATCAGCTGTCAGGCTGTTGCGATGCTCATTAAACAACCAAGCCGGCAACTGAAACAGAGACTACCTTCTCTCTGCAGCCACTGCTTTTCAGCTTGCCACAAAGATAAGTGATGACAATACTGGCAGAATGGAGACAAAAGGAGCAAAGGCAAGACAACCCAGTAACATTCCAGTGGTTCCACTGGTTTTGTTTTGCAAGGCACCTGGATCTCCCCCACCTTCAGTTACCAGTCACAGTTCTCAGTCCATCTAATCTATCTACCAAGTACTCTTAGGAAGAGTTCCTCAATAGATCATGCATCCCCAGGGTACAAAGAATCATCTAATTCCACATTCCAGCCTTATTTTACACAAGTCATTTAGGCTTATAAACAGTTACTGCAAACATGCAAATTGCAACATTAATAAATTACATTAAAAACAAACAAACAAAAAAAATCACACAGAAGCCTAGAAACCTCTGGGACTGTTCTCCAACAGTCTTACAAAATCACTGTTACAAAATAAAACAGAACATAGGCACATATGCATCTGTACTGTCCAAAGAAGTTGATATAAATACTGTCCTTGAAGCTGACGGATCTTTTGCTAGAGAGACGAACATGTTGATTTTATGACCTGTGTTTATACAACCCAATCTGAAAATTTAACTCGTAATACAGCATGAAAATGGAGACTTGTACAAAGGAATGTGCACTGCCAGCAGTTCTCTTCCTAAAACTCCTCGCATTTGAGAACACATTAAGCATTGCCAGTCAATGTTTAATAGTTATGTGCGTAAGCAATTCAAAACACCTGATTTTCACAGAAAGCACATAAGTTTTTACATTACTACCCGATGATTGTATTAATCTGTGTAAGAAAATATATGTAGCACGGCTGTCCTAATATAGAAAACAGCTTAAGAGAGAACAACAGGCTACTGTAAATACAGCATCTGTCAAAGTTAAATAACTACAGGCTGCATTTTTACCCACTTCATCCACAAACAGTAACTGCTGGCATTAGCAGGATTTCTTTCCTTCCAGAGAGAATCTACCAGAAGACAATTTTAGTTCTATTTAACATAGCTTAATCTTGCTACATTTCAAAGCTCATTCTGCTGTTAGTGTCCAAAATAAATGTAAGTAACATGTATACTTTACTCAGCATAAAGACGACTCATACACAATCTTAAACAACAGTAGAAAGTAAAGTTCAAAAACCAAACTTAAAAACAGATTTGCAGCTACTTTTAACAGAGTGAGGATTTGTATGAACTTACAGTAAGATTCCAGTTGATCTGTGGTATTCTTGTGTGAAGATTTAGACTGAACATAAGCAACAGAACTCCAGTAACCACCAATGCACTACAGCTCACAAACTCGAAGAAATAAAGGCCTTCGCAAGGGGAGCATTCCATGATGGTCTCTATGCAGATGAAAGCAATCAGTGCCAAAACCTAGGAAGAAAAACAAGTGGAAAAAATATAAATAGATTTCCACATTTTGAAAATAGCCACAAGTATTCCTGAAATTTCCATTGGGAACATGATCAGTTTACACTCAGGAATGTGTGATTTTAGTTTATAACAGGGCACTGTCTAAAGAGCAAAAACAAAAGCAAATTAATGCAAGACTTTCTGGATACCTCCGGTTCAACAAAGTATATTTTAGCAAAATTACAAGGAGTCTAACATCAAAATGACTTGAGACACCCAGAAAGGCATGAAACCTTCAGGCCCTTCAGGCCATTGGCTTAATATGCAAACGGCACCTCAAACATTTTATTTCATTTTTCACTCATTCCAAAACCTGACGATGGAATGCATTTGTTTACTGGGACAACCTCAAGCTCAATTATATAGTATTAATACAGTGTGATTGTGAAAGACATTTCAATAAAGCTATTATTTAAAATTCACTACCAACTTGAGATCTAAATCAATTCAAAACAGAATAGATTCAGGATCTCTACCAGCCTCCAAAAGTGCCTGCCCTTTTCATGTTTTTTATCCTCAATATGCTATATTTCATATAAAGACATATTTTATCATTCCCTTACTAATAAGACAATAAAACAAGCAGCTAATAGATGAAGAAGAAACTCCTGGTGCTGCAAACACATACATCTAACTGGGTAATGGTTAGTCACAGTGAATTCAGAAAGAATCTTGGCAAAGTTAACACAAATGCAGACTTTTACAAGACAAGAGTTCAATTTACTGTTTAGGATAAAACAGTGAAATTCAGTATACTTAAAAAAACTGCCCAATGAACAAAACTAAAATATATAAAAACCATACACCAATATTAGCTACCACTTATACCTACACAGAGTATACAACTTAAATATGTAAGTCTAAGTTTAAAACTGATTCCTCTTTAAATGTAACTGGTAAAAGAAAACCAGTTGCATGGACAGTTTTGCTTTGTTTTTTTAATTTTCCATGGCAAGCAAGGAAGGTCTTAATAATATTTTGCTTTGGTTTTCAAGACAACAACCCCCCCACACCCACCCACTTACATTTTTCAGAAAGAATTCACTTTTTTGCTCTGCCGCAAAATTCTAATGAGACTGTAGTAAGTCACTTCAATTTGAGGATGAAGAACTCTGGGGGTTAGCCTCCTCAGAGCTCAGTATTCCATAATTTGAAGGTTTTGCACAAACAAAACATAAGTTTAAAAGATTGACAGAAGCCACAATACAAATCAATTTCTGCTAAATTCTTCTTTGCCAATTTCAATAATGTTTTGCAGATACACTTTCTTCCAGCACTTTTTATGCTTCATCCATTAATTTGTCTTTGCCTCCTACAACAAAACGAGCAAAATGAAGAAAAAGGATTTTGAAAGTTACCATTTTTGTCACTAACATCAGCAGTAATTCTATATCCCGCACGATTTGTTTGCCACCTACTTCAGAATGCAGTAGCTGCTAATTTAAGTTTAAAAATGGATTAAAACAAAGCAAAACAGTTCTAATCAAAAAACTCACACTTGGGTAGAAAGTCTCTCACAGTTCACTTAACGCGCTCTCTTTAAGAGAGCACATGCCATACTAATTTTTGCCACCTAATAGAGCAGGCCAATTCACATCAAACAAATTCTGAAAGGATACTCAGTGACTAAACACTTAACTTCAGATTTTATCTTTGACATTGAATAGCTCTGGAAAAAAAGAAAGAAGGAATATGCAGTGAAATGGAACATTCAGAAAACCAGAATGAAAGTCAAACTATGATTTCAGCAATCACACACACACAACAATACTGTCCAGAACACAGCTTGATTTTACAGTATTCACATGTAATGAAGTCCACCTTTTCTGTGAACACAAGCCTCATAACTGAAGATGACATTGAATACAATTTTAAAAAAAAAAGTAAAGATCAAAAAAAAAAAAAATCTTAGCCGTTTCAAGCAGGATCAGTATCAAGTATTAACGCTAAATGTTAGCTGGCAAACCTTTAGCTTTTAGATGTTCCAATATAATAAAGTCTCCATTGCTCTTGCCACTATTTTTGATATGACACTTCTAAAATTTTTATTCTTTTAAAAGAAACGGTTCTGCAATATTACCTAGGGATACTGTTGTACAAGCCCAAACAATATTAGGTTCATTTTCTAAAAATATAAACAGCTCTGAATTGTGCCACCAACATTAGGCTGAAGGAGCCAAAAACTCTGGCACACCAATCGTTACACTGGGCAACTGCTACTTGGCGTATGGAGTCTCTGTTCTTTTGCTGATTAAAATCTTACACTGGCTCTCCTCCATACCAGATAGCATTGCTTCTTCAAGGCTAACGTACCCATCTTAGCAGTCAAAGCTCAAAAAAAATGAAAAAGAGTTTCTTGTATAAAGCATTAGAAATAAATTACTGAAGAGGCACTTGAAGCAATAAACTCTAATCATCACGTCATTTATATACTCCCCAAGCTCAGCATTAATAATTAATAAACCTCAGAGCAATTCTACCTTAAGATTTCACTTTATCCCTTAAGAAATTACAAAAGACATTTAACTGTGACACACCTTTATAAGAAAAAAAGTGTTAGTTGTGTACACTTAGATTTGACTTAACCCAAACCATTTCAAACGCAAGTAAAGATGAAGATGTGCCATCAGTTTAAGTAACGTGCAGCAGCATTAGTGTACAGTGGTCTGGGTTCTGGCAGCCCAAGTCTACTGGTATGTTTATCAGAAAGGTTGGGAGAAAACCTCAATTGCTTCAGTTTACGATGGAGATTCTGGCCACGAAGCGGAGGCTGTGTTTTGGAAACATGCACAATATCTGCCTATTAACAGGAGTATTATCATCACAGAGAGGATCGGGACACCTGAACACTTCTTGGTTGGGGGGATAGGGAAAGGAGAGCATTTCCATGCATACAATTTATTTGTAACACTTCTGTACTTCAAGCAAGATTCCAACTAAATGTGTTACCATTTTTCTTGTGATAAAAATATATTTAACCCTTCTCAAAGATTATCCATCCTACCAGTGCTACAGTGCTCCTGTTAACTGCACATTATTTGTCTCACAATGAATGATGTGACAAAAAATAAAATCCTAATTAATCACCACATCAGAAAAAGCTATCCTCCCACAGAAACTTCCCTTTTCGTAAACACAATAAAAATCTCAGTCTTTAATAAGAAATATTTGCTCTTTGAAACATCAGGGTAATCTCCTCCTCCTACACATTTATAAACTTGCCAGAAGCATCCTTCCAATTAACTACAAGTAATGTGAATCTTCTATAAAAACACACCAGTGCTGCTTTCACTGGCCATTCCACTCAGAGATGAGCCTAATTTTGTTTCTAATAAAAAAGCAAACTACTCTGAACACATGAAATGAAAGCGAAATACATTATAGAATCAAACCCATGACTTACTCAGACAGCTACATTACTTAAAAGTGTTGTGTAAATGCATGTAAATGAGCAAAAGCAGCTTGCCAAAGGCCATTGCTCATCCAGTGACCAAGTTCATTTAAAAAAAAGAACGTGTTAACATCGTAAGAAAAATGCTTCATTTTCTCTGCATTTTTAAATGTATGAAATAGGTAACTGATGAGACACACTATATAAATTAGGTAGTGAATTAATACATTTTGCCACCCAGAATACCACTTAATTGACATGGCCATAAAGCAGATGATGTGATCACAAGCGTGCCCCCAGAGTGCCCCACCACAAACTGCAGACAGACCAAAAGTCAGTCTTGGTCTCAGCTACCCCAGCTTATTTTCTGAGGGACTTCAGTGCAGGATTAGCACTAATCATTTTCTCCTGTTCTCTCACAGAGCTCTGTAACTATAATAAAAACATCTTCTTTCTAACCTACGTTTATCCCATTGCCTGTCTACCACCCATCGCTGCCTACTGAATTTGCTAATCTACATGCAGCTCACAGCTTACCAAGGCTCAAAGACCTAAAAAGTCACTTCTCCAGAGCTTCTTACGTTCTTCCCTCTGCCACACTACACATCCAAGATAAAATGGTGCCTTGCCTTACCACGTTGGCTATACACACCCTTTTGGGAAGAGGGAAGAAGGACAAAAGACCCTCCAGCCCTCCTGGGAAGCCTCCATGCTCCATCCAGACACCATTTGAGGGCAGAGACTCTTGCTGCCCCAGGTGACTGAGGCGCAAAGCTGCAGCAGAGAAAAACCCTCACTCCCCAGCTCCTAAAGTTTTGTTGTTGCTTTGTAACACAAGTCACCAACGCTACTTCAGAAAACCGGGAGACAGGATCTATCTAGGCCTGCATCTGCCTCCCATGACTGCATTACAGGACTAGCTAAAAAACAAAACAAAAACTCCAAAAACCCCAAAACAAACAAAAAAAAACCCCAACAAAAAAAAACCCAGCATCATATCACAGCACAGATCTCGGCCAACGAAATGCACGCTGCCATTTGTCCAACACAGGAGGCGACCTGTGAGGCGACTACTTTCGAGTCACACCTCTTCTCATAGTTTAGGGTGATGCGTTTTGACAAGTTTTTCCACAAGCAGAAGTTTCAAGGTTCATTTACTAAGGAAAAATGAGAAGTTGAACGTGGTGGAGATCTCCTCTTACATGAATTACTGCTCTCTCCCACAAATGACACAGCTACAGCTTTCTCAGGCAGAGTCAATAGAAAAAGTTGCCTCTGATGGATGAAACAAACCTTTTCCTCTGTTTTTCTCTGCACTGAGTACTTTGGAGAGTTTTCTATTCCACCCTAATTCCTCCAATGCCCTAAGATTTGTATAACTCTCTTTTATTACTATCTTTCTCTTTTTTAACAGTCACTTTTGGTTTCCCTTCTACTTCCACTCTTCTTGAAGTAAGTACAGTGAATATTGCATTGATACGCAGCTTTGTCATGTTGGAAGCATCTGCTTATTCCACTGGATGCTCAGGTCCACACAGAGGTATCCTAGGTTACCCGCAATACCACCTGA